GATATCTCCTAAACGGCTGGAGATATCTCCACCAAACTTTCAGGACCCCTCCGGGCATCGATTTTACACATTGTGACCAAAAATTTTTCCAGAGGCTATGATAGGTTGACCACAAATGACGTCAGAATGACGTCATTTCTCATGTTCGTCATGTTCTGTCATTTTCGACCGAAAAAAGACATTCGCGAGAAGACCTGTCAGGCCTACAGCTTTGAAGATACAGAAAAATGATCAAGACATAAAAGGTGTAGAATTGACAGGGCTACAAAACTGCCATCTCGGATTTTTGAAATTTTTGATTTTTGACCCCCAAAAATCAAAAATGCATTTTTTTGGATACATAAGCCGAAAAATCCAAAAAGTTTTTTGATTTTCGAAAAAACGGAATATATGTGATAGTACCTACCGTCTTCTATCTACATACCAAATTTCAGATCGATACCTCGTTTTTTGGCCAAGTTATAGCGAAAAAAAACTGTTCAAAAATGATGACGTCAAATTTTCAAACTCAATTTTTGGCAATTCTAGACCTCGTAGAGCAAAACAAAGACCACCATTGGACTCCCCGTGACGAGCTGCATCGAATCGATACCCATTTTATGCAAAAATATCAAGAGTCATGTTACCTTTTCCTCAAGTTATAATGAATATGAAATAATATTTTCGGAGTTTCTTGAGTGATATATATTGAAAAATTGATAGCAAATATTTCGATACTCGTAGTGGTACCTTTTTCAATGCGAGTACCACTCGCATTGAAAAAGGTACCACTACGAGTATCGAAATATTTGCTATCAATTTTTCAATATATATCACTCAAGAAACTCCGAAAATATTATTTCATATTCAAAAATATCAACTTTGAAATTTGACCTAATTTGACCTGACCTTGACCTGACCTTCACCAAAACGTGACCTAGGCTGGCCCCAAAGGCTACCTAACCCACATAATCGCATTTGTCATGTAAAATGGACCATAAAACATGTATCACACGACACTTTCATAATGTGGCCCCCGGTGACCTGACCTCGCTGTGACCTGACCTGGTATCAGTGACCTCAGATAGCAAAGTATGTGTTTGACGAACAATGTACCATCGATGGTTTTCAATAAATTACCAATTTACTCGATTTCACAACACATTTCTTGAAATGTCTGTGAACGGTGAAAATCTGACCTTTGACCTGATCTGTGACGTCATCGGTTTGACCTAGGTCAATGAAATTTGGTCACAAGGTAGTTCCCGGGTGGGGCTATCGAACGCCGTTTGAATTTTGAAAATCGGCCGGTAACTTTCCGAGATCTTAGGGGGGGGGGCGAAACGCCCCCCCCCCCCCCTACGGGTGGTAGGGTCCGCCGGTAGCCCTACGGGGCGCGGGATATAGTCGGAGGCTGCGCGGTGGTAAACCGGTTCCGGTCCGGAGAGGTGTTCAGGGGCCGGCGACCGGTGACACTGCCCTGAGCGGGGCGCGGGATTTCCGACCGAGATCGAGCTCTCCTGAGTGAGTGAGCTAGCAGTGGCGACCAGTGGTATGTAAAATGGCCGAGTTTCATCGCCACAATACTGTCCTGAAGCGCCGTTACAGGGAGCAGAGGCGGCGGGCCGGTCGATTGGACCGGCGCCATGCGCCCACACCTGGGCGTCTGAACTGTTTGCCCAGCGAGGCTGTTTGCCCAGTGATAACAGTGTTTGCAGTCCATGACGACAGGCGCACAGTGGTCGACTCTGACCTTTACTACAGATAAAACTGGCAGACGTGCTTATTAATAAAAGCTATACCTAACAGCGCAATAGAAATGAAGGGCGTTAGTAGGGCATAAATAAATTTAAGAACATTCCACAAACTAAGTTAATTGCACAATCACTTCAATATTGCTGTTCCACCCGATTTCCGTTCCCATTTCACCCCACAGGTAACCCGTGTCACCATTACACACCGGTGTGGCCGTTTTGAAACCGCCCCGCGTATCGTAACACCCAACACGGGTCCGTCGCGCCCGGTGGGTCCACTCAGCCCTGACTCAGCAGATTTTCAGGGGCCGAGTTCAAGCGACAGTTTCCGTTGGCCACCTTCCGCCGTAGCTGCACTCGCCTAAACGTCCGGAATATCAGACAAGCAGAGTGCATACAAGTATTACTTGAAATACTAGCTAAATCACAGCAAAAAGATTAGAACGCCAGTCAAACTAGCCCAGTAACAATTCACGCCAGCCAATCGATAAAGAGCGGTAATGTTACAAACGGTCCGTGAAAACAGCGTCACGCCGTACCAATCGTCACGTCACGCCGCTCCAGTCGTCACGTCACGCCGTGTGAGCTTCGTGTCACGCGTCACACTACAACTATTTGTGGCGATCGTGCCAGTGAAGCCCTTCTAGTTTCTCAACGGTTACCCAATCGCAACGCAGAACACGTGATACCCGGCACGGCCGCATGTGCTACCCTTTTGCAGGTCACGTGACCGTAGAGTTTTGATCACTTTTTGGACGGAAGGAGAGGACCACATTTTTGTGACCATGTCAAAGTTTCGGAAGTTAAGTAGTGCGGCGCGGGTCACTTGGGTCGTAATCAGACTTATAGCACCGAGGCGGAGACATGAGACCCAGGACAGTCCGTAGGACGAATTACCAGTGGGAAGCACGGAATATTGACAAAACGGAGGTCATCTTGGTTGGAACGGCTAGAGTTGGGGGCTTTCGCCTGACCGGCTTAAATCTGAAGGTCAGTACTATTTCATAATTTAGATGCCGCTGGCTGCTGAAGCAAGTCTATCAATTAACTAGGATTTATAACGACCCATAAGTCCATAGCCTAATTGGTACATCCGCGAAACAGCGGCTGCAGTAGAGCTAAAAATAAAATCGAATTTAGTGCTTCAGTATGGGGAATATTTCGACGTGAGGCACGTCTCGGTCACTTCAGTGGCAATCAGTCACGGTCCAATTAGTGAACCGGAGCTGAGGCGTCAGAAGACGATTTATTTTCTCCCCACGGAAACTGAGGATACTGTCGCCGAGTCGGGCTTGAATAGCTATCAGTAATCAAAGCAATTTAACGTTCATGACCAAAAAGAGACGAGTAAATATGATGGTTCAGTCATGATCAGTAGCCTTAGTAGCTCATTTTTGAAATACACTGCTTTGTGATGCGGAGCTTTAGTTCTCAGGTAGGCGTTTCATTCAAATGTTTCTGCAGATGCGCTGTGTCGACGTTAGAAATGTCTTTCGGTGGCACCACCCTCACTAATCCCGCTATCCGAAGCTGTTTCAGTGACCCGTGCAGTACGACGACGTCCAGTGACGAGTCAGAAACAAACCCCTTCACATTTCCCCCGCCTCCCCTGCCCTCCCTTGGACTGTCGTGTCCGTCCGCCATACCGCACCCGTTCCGGGGCTGAAATCCACCAATTGGCCCGATCTCCCAGTACCCACTACCTTCCCCCACACTCCCAGGTGCCGGTCTGTCATATCGCACACACCGCCCGGTCAGGCTGTCTTACCAGATATCCCTACTTTGAGCAGAATCCTGCCAGAGCCATGGCTCGACACAGATGTAATCACAAAATACCCGAGATATTATCGGGTCAGATACCCGACCTAGATGCGAGATACCAGATAGCAGATGCGCAGCAGGCTCGTCGGCCACGAAAACGTGCACGCACGGGTCAGATAAGACAGCAGAAATCCCCCACCAGCCCAGCGACCACGTGACCAGAAACATCCAGATGTGGGGATGTGAAAACTCTCACTTGAAACGGTTCGGTAAAAATACTCACGAAACACAGTTACTGATATGAAGGTGATAATGATCTCAACTAAAAGTGTACCCGTTCTGAATTTCGCGCTCATGCCTCATGGTCAAGGAACCGGAACTTTATGGGTGCCTTTCAATCTTAGCGTCTGCAGTTGATGCTATTTGCGGTCTAGAATTCATGACACACATGGAATTAATGCATGCACTTGAAGAGTTTTATATGACCACCTCTGAAACGACTCACATCTGGACGGAAGGATCTGGGACGCCACCAAGGTTATCGTGAGCTTCATTTCAAATATGTTGATCCGGCAATAAAGGGGGGTCATCGCTTTCCATCATAACCTTGGACTGTGGGCTTCATGACATGGACAGCCAAAGGATTAAAATTAGCGTCCAGGTGAATTTTTCATGTGAAAATCTGCTCATATGTCATCCCACAGTCCGGCAATGCAACTGCAGTCAGTGGGCAACATATATCATATCAATACTGAATGTGCCAGGAGTGCTGTTTTAGTACGCTGATAATTGTCCCAAATACCCGTTTCGCAAACCGGCAGCTAAGCGCGGCGATCAAATCGGCATCCCGCGTAGCGTTCCGCCGGGTGCAAGCGAACCGAAAACTGGGGCGGGCCACTGAAGCAATTAATGGTAGTCGACCACCGTGAAACACGAACAATGCCAGAGACAGCAGAGATATTTGGTGACCAATCAGCGACAAATCGCTACATTCGTGTGTATATGAGGGCACTGGAGAGTCATTTGATGCGTGACTAGCAAGCCTTATGGGTATACTGGAACATCAGAAGAGGTTTCCAGAAGGCAATTAATGCAGCAGTTTGTAGCTAATGCACCTTCGTCGAATCACCCCACGATTGGTGTGTGAAGGACATGCCGTAGCTCTCGGATCTGGAACGAGACTTCGATTCTATCCCTCTCCTTTCCTAAGAATGTTGATCTTGGGGACTTGACAAGCTACGAAGACAGTTACACAAGGAGGAACCGAGTGGACGACAGTGATGTAGCTCTTGAATATTGAAGAACACTGATATTCTCCCCCTCCCCCTCCAAAATAGTGTAGACGTTAAGGACTTGATCTAACTACCGCGCTGAACGCACTGAAGGAAGCTGAGGACGGTGACGTACCTGAACCAGGTGAAGATGAGGACGGTGACGTACCTGAACCAGGTGAAGATGAGGACGGTGACGTACCTGAACCAGGTGAAGCTGAGGACGGTGACGTACCTGAACCAGGTGAAGATGAGGACGGTGATGTGGTGGTACCAGTGCAGGAAGATGAGCGGCTGCTTCCTCAGCACGATGAATACCGTGTCCATCAGCTCGGGCACCTTGGACATGGTGAACAGGTAGCTCCAGAGGCCAGACACGGGGCTGTTGGGCACGTAACTGCGGGCAGAACGGAGGGAGGTGAGACGTCAGCACGAGACGAGAAGATGGTCCATCACACTCTCTGGCAAAACACCACTCTTAGAGAGCCTCACATCAACAGCACTGAAACGGAAGATGCCTCTGGCAACCTGGTCAAGGAGATGCACTTGACCATCAAGGAGGTGCTCTTCATCGGCCACTCAGGAGGCGAAATTTGTAACACCGGACGGCATTAATTCTAAATATTATATTAATGTAGTTATACTGATCGCACTCACAGTATGTTAGAAATCACAAATTCACTAGCTCAATCATTGACTTCTTTTCTATCCCTCTTGTTCTCTTTTCCTTTCTCGCTCTCACGCCGTCATTCACTCGCTTGCCCGTAAGCCAGCCTGTTCTGAGCACTCATTGCCTGTTCTGAGCACTCATTGCCTGTTCTGAGCACTCGTTCCTCCGCTCACTCACAATCGCTGCTTCATTTTCTTTCCTCTCTAGCACTATTTTTCTGTCATTCACTCTTTCACTCATTATTCGTATTCGACTCTCATTCACTCGCTCACACACTGATTTATTCATTCACTCATTCATTCGTTTACTCACTCTCTCATTCAAGACTCACTCACTCACTCAGACTCTCATTCAAGACTCACTCACTCACTCACTCACTCACTCACTCACTCACTCACTCACTCACTCACTCACTCACTCACTCACTCACTCACTCACTCACTCACTCACTCACTCACTCACTCACTCACTCACTCACTCACTCATTCACTCATTCATTCATTCATTCATTCATTCATTCATTCATTCATTCATTCATTCATTTATTCATTTGCCCCCACCGGGCCCACACTCATTCTCCCTCCCTTCCACTTCGTCAACCCGCCCTATCCTCTCCTCTTAGACCCTTTTCCACTTTTTACCACGCTAAAAACCACATCCCCTGCCGCCGCCGACTCTCAGTCTCACCTATGGCCAGCGATGCAGCAGGAGTGATGGAAGCCAAAGTTTTTCAGCACAAACAGCAGCTCGGGAACGGTGCGCATGGCGCCCACGATGCTGAACACGGCCAGGAAGAAGTTCCACAGCGCCAGTACGTTCCGCAGTTCGAACCGCTCCCTAGTGGCCATGTAGCGCTGGCCGCCGAATATGAGCACCATGTAGACGCCGATGTAGTAGAAGGACGTGTGCCAGTTCTGCTGCATCCACTGCTGGCGCTCCACGGCGGCAAAGTCCTCCTCGAACTTGAACAGGTAGGTGTAGTTGGGGACAGACATAGACAGCATGTCCATGGAAGCCATGGTGGCGGCTGGGGGTCTTCAGCAGAGGTACCCGAGGTGGACTGCACGAGCAGTGTCCAGAGGCTGGAGGTGTTCAGCAGAGGTACCCGGGGTGTACTGCACGAGCAGTGTCCAGACGCCGGTACTGCGACTGCCGCCGGTGCGTTAGCGCGCGCTCCTCGGCCGCCCTCCTCGCGCCACCGCCCACCGGCTGCTAGTGATCCCACTGGGTCCCGGCGCGCGCACCCAATCAGCTGACCAAGGTCGGCGAGCCGGTGACGTCAGCGGGCACCGACCAATCGGAGCCGGCGGTGGCGGCGTGGTGTGAGGGGGCGCGACTGAACCGGACCGACTGCCCCGCCTGGAGACGGGCACGCTAACGCATGGGAAACGGGGGACTGGAGAGGTGTGGGGAGGAGAGGGGAGGTGAATGGGAGGGGTGGCGGAATGCTGGGGAAGAGGGTAAAGTGCCGGTCTGAAAAAAGAATATTAGAAAAAATTGAAAACACATTTGGAACCCGGGAGCCATTTCCAATTGTGAGCTCCAAGATATGGTGGCATTCTAATGCATTTATTCATTGATTGATTGATTGATTCCCTCGCTCATTCAATCTCTCAAATTATCTATTTCATTCCTTCAATGAATCTTGAATCATTCATTCATTCAATAAACCATTCATTCATACGACATAACCCGATGTCCCTTGTTGCGGTATAGGACATAGGTACAGGTCTCGCGAGATTAAGCGGTAGGTTTTGCAATTTTACATTTCCGGTTATATCTCAGAAACTAATCGATCTACGATGAAGACATTTTACACGATCATGGCCGGCTTGTTACCCAACAAGTTGATCGCATCTTCAACACTTAAAAGCTTAACCCTCGCCCATGTAGGGGGGGTTGGTGCAACCCCCCCCTGAGGCTTTTCGGAAATAGTGCAAAAACGGCGGCGCGCAGCGCCGCCAAATTCTGGGTACCTTATGGGGCGAACCTTGCGCATCTTTTGATAAAAAAAAATTGACCGGGTCATGTCAGGTCACGGAGTTATGACGTCACAAAGGGAACAGCCTCCGGCCGGATTTTCACAAACTGAGTGCCAACGCCCGAGGTTTCCTGCCGGTGGTACGGACATCGGTTGATGGATCGTGATGAAACTTCCCATGCATGTTGGGGCAAGTACTGGCTATCATATGGTATAAGAAACTTGACCGGGTCAGGTCAGGTCACGGAGCTATGACGTCACAAGAGGAACAGCGTCCGGTACTATTTTTGAAAAGCGCCCGAACCACTATTTTGCTAATTCTTGTCACCTCAATGGGAATATGCAGCAATATTAGCTTCTATAGGGAGCAAATGGACCTCCCAAATCCAAAAATACAATCAGATTTCAAAAATTTAAATTTTGATTTTTCGAATTTCTTCCGCCGACTGTGACCTTGCCGACTTCCGGCGCTCCCAACGCGCCATTTTTAGAGCTAGGGAAACGAAATACATACCAAACGATAGAGAATTGATCAAGGAACACGATAGTGAAGGTTTCAAGTCGATATCTCCCACCGTTTTGCCGCAATCGCCGCGGAAAGTTGAAAAAGTCTATTTTTCCGAAAATTTGACCTTTGACCGGTCAAAAATAGGTCAAATGTTGACCTAGGACCAAAAAATATACCACCAATCGCGAGATCTCGGCGAGAGCAATCCGTTGGTTTTTTCCGCTAAGCTCTACGACGCTCCGTTTTCAAACGCCAAGGGGGGGTCGCACCAACCCCCCCCCCCCCCCTGCATGGGCGAAGGTGGCAGATCGCCGTTTACGGGCGAGGGTTAAGACGACGAAGATATAGCATGAAGTACACTAAATTTTATAGGTGCAAAGCCTACCGTTAAAACCCGCGAGACCTGTACTTCGAGCATCGAGAAACGTTACGGAGGTGAAATGAAGAATCGCTGTTAAAACAGTTCAATTAGCCCGCGCCCCGCTGGGCTATTCAGCCATACGCGCCCTGCTGGGGGGGGGGGCAGATTCTGCCCCCCCCTGTCTAACTTCCGAACCGATGGTCGTAGAAAGACGGGGAAAACGGCAATCGAAAGCTCTCAACAAGGCGGATCTTAGGAGCCCAAATTTTTTTGCTTAAGTAGGTCAGAGGTCAGGTCAATGTCAGGTCAAGGGTACAAAATGCAAGTTTCTACAGTATCGGCCTTGCACCGTAGTTGCCGAAGAATGGACTGAGACTGATTGCCCAAAACGTGTTCTTAGACTACCAAGACAAAATTCGTTGCACACAATGTCATTCAAAGGTCAAGGTCAAGGTCAGGTCAGGTCAGGTCAGGTCACCAAAAACAAAATATAGAAAAGGGCATGTGCGACACATGTTTTATGGGTCATTTTACTCATGGAATTCAATAGGCACACTCAATAAGTGATATGGACCACCTCTGGATGAATTTTAGGTCGAGGTCAGGTCAAGGTCAGGTCAAGTGAGGTCAAATTTTGAAGTTGGTTGTTAAGGCCTAAAAAGGTGTCTATCCGATGCAGTTTTTCACGGCGAATCGAATGGTGCTATTTTTGTTTCCGTACGAGGTCTAGAACTTCCAAAAAAATCATTTTTCAAAAATTTTGTGTGTCGTGACGTCATAAAATTTTGAATAACTCCCACATTTTTGAACCGATTCTTCTAAAAATTGGTATGTAGGTGCACATAGACCAGTTCTTTGACATATATTCCGGTTTTTTCGATAAACCCAAAATTTTGGATTTTATAAATATTTTCCCAAAAAAGTCAGTTTTTTGGAAAAATTTTGGCCAAAATCCAAAATTTTCAAAAAACTGAGATAGCCATTTGATAGACAAAGTAGAATCACGTATAACCTTTTTTGTTACGTCTTGATTCCTTTAAAAATGAAGATGTTAGCGGCGTTTGAAATTTTGCCGTTTTTGAGGCGAAAATGGCGAACATGACGTCACTAAAACGTCAATTTCTCAAAAATTTTCCGACGGATTTCGCTCAAATTTTCAGGGAGCGTGTCAAATTGATGTATGATAAGGTACTGAAAGTTTGACGTCGCTGGCGTAACGCGTTTAGAAGTTATTGGCGAAAAACGGGAGGGGGGGGGCAGATTCTGCCCCCCCCCCAGCGGGGCGCGGGTTAGAAATCGGCTTTTCAAACAACATTTTGTGAGTGTGCTGCGTCTCTGATCTCTGCAAACGGTGAGAATAAATTCTGCGTTTGCAAAGAAATTCCTTTGCGAAAGACCACCGCTCTTTCTTAGCTTTGGAGCTGGTGAACCATGTCATTTCTTTTCTATATTCCATTTCAATGTCTCATGATGAGCTTCGTGATCACTGAAACTACAATTACTTGCTGCTTGTTAGGGGATTGAAGTTGAACATCTTAAAAAGATATGACAAATTATGAAATGCAGTAGGTGAGCTACGCTTGTTCGTACTTCGTGTGTGTCGTATGACAGCTTACCAAAAGCCATAAATGCCTGAGCGAGTCCATAAAGGTACCTTTCTCTCATAATCGGAACTGTTAGCTCTAAAAGCGGGGGTGGCGCAAGCTTATACTGCTCCCGCTAGATGTCCCTGGCATCGGGCGCCTGTGGTTAGGCTGCGCCGCAGTGCTCGCGCGCCGGTGGGTAGGCTGCGCCGCGGTACACGGGCATTCCGCCGGGCTGGTACGGGCGAGCCGCGCGGGTCCATGTGAGCGATATTACTTCACATTGATGGTTAAAAATCGGCTGCAACTTTAGATGGCTTGAACCGGTATGACGAAATGTGTAATAAGTCAACGTAAGAGACATGTTTTGTGTCAAGAGGTGGAAGAAATGGACTGCGTTTTAGCATTTGTAGACGGTGAGACAATGCGATGTTTCTTGCTCGACATAGCGTTACATTGTCCTCATAGCAGTTCTTTGAATTGTGGTACGCCTACCGTTAATCGTGTGCGAATTATGCAGAGTTTGGGCCATAAGCTATACCTAACGTTTATTCTTCTCAGCCGTTGTAACAGTGTTATCAACTTATCACGGATTTAATCTTTCTTCCGTCACTGTGATATAGCGCTGATGTCTCCTTATTTTTATTGAGTCTAATGGCAGGTAAAATAGGAATATCTGAACGACTTTGTGTCTCGAAATTATAGCGTCGTCGCTCGGCCGATCCGCAGACGTCGTCTTACTTCCCGTCAGTGGTTAGATTTGTGGTCAGATTTGTAACATTGTTCAACTGCTGCATATAAGCAAAAAAAAGGAACATTTTGATCTGCTCTACCTAACTTATCTTATGTGATGCGCAACACCTGCATAAAAGTTCTATGAATTTGGGGACTTTTACCGTAAATCGTGTACAAATTATGCTGAACATGTGTTATTATGTGTTGACATTTCCATTGAGCCTTTGTTACACACAAACGCGCTATGCGCTCATGGTACACCCGAATAGGTTTAGCCGTGTACGGGACTGTACTAACGCGTCGGCTCCGTGTCCCTGGACAAGAAAAAGATCACATTACCATACCCATCTTCCAAGCTTGTTCCGCGTTCCTCTCCGCAGACGTGGACTGGCCAGGGGCGGATCCAGGGAGGGGGACCTGAGGAGGGTCGACGTGCAGCTGTACAAATAATCCCTTTAGAATGTTTCCATTATAAAACTGGCATGCATCATGAATTCACGTAAGGCAAATTGGCATCTTGTGTGTAGCATGGTTCTTCCTAATCATTAAAATAGAGTTCGTTTGTCCCCTCCATTTATCCATGACGCCCTCCCCGTTGAATTCGCTGACTCCGCCCCTGCCCCACATCTCCGTCACCTCACTGGGGGCCTCCCAGACCAGACTGCTGCCCCAGTGGGAGCCTCCCAGACCAGACTGCTGCCCCAGTGGGGGCCTCCCAGACCACACCATCGCCCCACTGGGGGCCTCCCAGACCAGACCATCGCCCCACTGGGGGCCTCCCAGACCAGACTGCTGCCCCACTGGGGGCCTCCCAGACCAGACTGCTGCCCCAGTGGGGGCCTCCCAGACCAGACTGCTGCTCCACTGGGGGCCTCCCAGACCAGACTGCTGCCCCAGTGGGGGCCTCTCAGACCAGACTGCTGCCCCAGTGGGGGCCTCTCAGACCAGACTGCTGCCCCAGTGGGGGCCTCTCAGACCAGACTGCTGCCCCAGTGGGGGCCTCTCAGACCAGACTGCTGCCCCAGTGGGGGCCTCTCAGACCAGACTGCTGCCCCAGTGG